AATTCCACTCCTAGGTATATACCCAAGAGAAATGAAAACCGATGTCCACACAAGGTCTAGTATACAAATGTTCATAGCAGCATAGCACAAAAGCCAGAAAGTGGAAACCACCAAAGTGTCAATCAACTAATGAAAGGATAAATGGCCAGGCGCGGTGGCTCACGCTTGTATTCCCAGCACTTTGGGAGGCCGAGGTGGGCAGATCACCAGGTCAGGAGTTCGAGACCAGTCTGGCCAACACAGTGAAACCTCGTCTCTACTAAAAATACAAAAATTAGCTGGGCATGGTGGCGTACACCTGTAATCCCATCTACTCGGGAGGCTGAGGCAGCAGAATCGCTTGAACTGGGAGGCAGAGGTTGCAGTGAGCCAAGATCATGCCACTGCACTCCAGCCTGGGAGACAGAACTAGATTCCATCTCAAAAAAAAAAGGAAAGAAAGGATAAGCAAAACGTGGTATATCCACTCAGTGGAACGTGATTCAACCGTAAAACAAGGAAGGAAGTGCTGCTGTGTGCCACAACATGCACGGATCTTGAAAACATTACGCTAAGTGGAAGAAGCCAGACACAAAAGACTCTGCGCTGATTCCATTCATATGAAAGTCTGGAAGAGGGAGATCTCTAGTGACAGAAAGTACATTCGTGGTTGCTCAGGATGGGAGGGTGGAGGGGATGGGAAGGCAGTAACAGCCAAAGGGTACACGGCTTCTTTCTGAGGTCATGAAAATGTTCTAAAATTGTGCTGATGGATACCTGTAACTGTGAATATGCGTAAAAACAACAAATTGTACACTTTGGGTGAATTTTGTGTTACATGAATTATATCTCAATAAAGCTGGTTTAAAAAAGTTATGTGCAGGCCACGCGCAGTGGCTCACGCCTGTAATCCCAGCACTTTGGGTGGCTGAGGCAGGTGGATCACTTGAGGTCAGGAGTTCTAGACCAGCCTGGCCAACATAGGGAAACCCTGTCTCTACTAAAAATACAAAAATTAGCCAGACGAGGTGGCGGGCAACTGTAATCCCAGCTACTCAGGAGGCTGAGGCAGGAGAATTGCTTGAACCCAGGAGGCGGAGGCTGCAGTGAGCCGAGATCGCACCACTGCACTCCAGCCTGGGCAACAGGGTAAGACTCTCAAAAAAAAAAAAAAAAAGTAATGTGCAGAATAATGTTTTTAGTATGTTATCTTTTGTGTAGGAAAATGGAGAAGGGAAATACAAATTTTGTCCTCATTTTTATAAGGAAATGAAACTAATAAGATGGTTCACTAAAGAAGGAGGGAAAGAACCGCATAGTGGGACTGGAGATCGGCTAGGCTTCTCTGAATGAACCTTGTTTTGTAGTTTTGACTTTAGAACCAAAAAAAAGTTTTTAAAAACATTAAAAAGAAAAGGCAACACTAAAAATTGAAAACATACTGAAATAAGTAAACCTAGCTATCATGTTGATGGTATAACCACACAGGAAAAAAATATCGTTGCAAGCGATTTTAATAAGAGTAGTCTATTCACCCCTAGTGGAATATAATCTAAGGATAAAAAGCATTGCCAAGAAATTTTAGGCTATACTCAGTGATCTTAATGTTAGTAGTAATACATTATTATTTTGAAACAATTACATGTATATGGTGGGATAAAGAAAATAATTGTTAATGCCACCAAAATTTTCAGTGTAAAGAATTAAAAATATAAAATGAAAGAAGTTAAACATCTTGTTTGTTTTGGCCGGGTGCAGTGGCTCACGTCTGTAATCTGGCACTTGGGGAGGCCGAGACGGGCGGATGACTTGAGGTCAGGAGTTTGAGACCAGCCTGGACAACACGGTGAAACCCTGTCTCTACTAAAAATAAAAAAATTGGCCGGGCACGGTGGCTCAAGCCTGTAATCCCAGCACTTTGGGAGGCCGAGACGGGCGGATCACGAGGTCAGGAGATCGAGACCATCCTGGCTAACACGGTGAAACCCCGTCTCTACTAAAAAATACAAAAAACTAGCCGGGTGAGGTGGCGGGCGCCTGTAGTCCCAGCTACTCGGGAGGCTGAGGCAGGAGAATGGCAGTGAACCTGGGAGGCGGAGCTTGCAGTGAGCTGAGATCCGGCCACTGCACTCCAGGCCTGGGCGACAGAGCGAGACTCTGTCTCAAAAAATAAAAAAATTTAAAAAAAAAAATTAGCCAGGTGTGGTGGTGGGCACCAGGCTGAGGTGGGCGAATTGCTTGAACCCAGGAGGCAGAGATTGCAGTGAGCCAACATTGTGGCACTGCACTCCAGCCTGGGCAACAGAGCAAGACTCTATCTCAAAATAAATAAAATCTTGTTTGTCTTTTGACATGGAAATATTAGTATGAACTCATAACGTGTTTATTTTTTAAAGAAATCTAATTTTCTAGTTCTGTTCATCGAAAGGCCTGAAGCTGTGACATCCCATAATAGGGAACAGCGTGAGTGCCCGGGCTGTGGACTCTAGATCTCATTCTCATCAAGAAACCAGTGATATCTGGAGAAATGGGTGATTCCAAGACTGAAGCAGGATGTGGACAGAATAAACCCAGGACATGCTGTGTAAAAAGCAAGCAAGCTTTCAAAACAGCAGATCGTGTCCTGAGGGCAGGGAGCCAACCTGAAGGGCTCCCGAATAAATCGAGCATCAGGAAAATGACTGACAGCAATGGCCGGAAGCCCATGAAATATACCAGTATCTCTGTGTTCATCATGACGCTCAAAAAAAAAAAAAAAGCAACCTAGTGGGCAACTCTAGAGCTTGCTGAGGACCGACTCGGTCTGCAGGCACACAAGTAAAGGAGTAGGATGGAGCTTCACACTGCTGTGCCTGGGGTGGGCCACAGTCCAAGGTGACCACGGGGTAGGTGAGGGAACGCCTGTCTTCACAGACCACTCTCCAGCTGATGAAGGCAGGAGCCACAGGGTCAGACGCAGGCCTGTGGGAGGACAGCCCTTGGATCAGGGATCTCGATGTCTTGCTCAAGCCATCAGGTGGAAGGCCGATGGGGACTTTATTCTGGGTTGGTCAAACTGCCAACACTGGACCAATGACCAGTCCTCATGTCACTCCAGCGGGACTTGGACACATCACAGGCTGCCTGGGCTGGCTGGGGGTGCACATGCATCCCTGAGAAGCAGCCCTGCAAAGACCATCTGAACCTAAACCCTATCAAGCACCTCTCTCTAATTAGAGTTTACAGGAAACACGGGGGTGGGAACAAGTGAGCAGTCAGTCACATCCAGGCGGGGAACTCTACAGGACAGACGACCTTGTTTTTTCCGTGAATAAAGCGGGAGGTTGAAGGAGACTTCAGGTGCATCACACAAGGCAATGTGCAGGCCCCAGGAGCCCTCATCAGGTTAGACCTGAAATCAGGACATTTTTAAGACGACCAGGAAAATTCGAACATGACCTGGGATTTCTTATGATACTGAGGAATGACTGCTAATTTCTAATAATAATAATTTGTGGTTACGTAAAGTATTAGATCCTGCTGACATGTTCACAGGAGAAATGATACCTGTGAGAAAGGGGACGACAGACAGATAAAAATAGATGAAGCAGGACTGGCCAGTTTTGATCAGTGTTGAAGTTGAGTGCATGGTGCTCTTCATGCTTACATGTTGTGGGTTTGAACATTTTCATAATAAAGGGATTTTTTAAAGCCCCAAAACTCATTTTAACCATATCAAGAAAGGCAAAAAGATGGCCAGGCGTGATGGCTCACGCCGGTAATCCCAGCACTTTGGGAGGCCAGGGTGGGTGGATTACCTGTGGTCAGGAGTTTGAGACCAGCCTGGCCAACATGCTGAAACCCCATCTCTACTAAAAATACAAAAATTAGCCGGGCATGGTGGCGGGCACCTGTAATCTCAGCCACTCAGGAGTCTGAGGCAGGAGAATTACTCGAACCCGGGAGGCGGAGGTTGCAATGAGCAGAGATCGCGCCACTGCACTCCAGCGTGGGCGACAGAGCAAGACTCCGTCTCAAAAACAAAAACAAACAAACAAAAAAAAGCAAAAAGACAAGGAAAGTCCCAGAGGACAGGGGCAGAGAAAGAAAACCCAGAGTGAACCCAGCAAGGAAGGAGGAGCAGCCAGCGGGAGAAACCCAGGGCTCGGAACCGGCAGGGGCAGCAAGGCCTGGGGCGGCCGCGTGTGTGGGACAAGCACACGGGGAGGCCTGTGAAGAGTAGGAGAGGAGCGTCGGACAGGGTGGGGGTGCTGGATTGGATGGGCGGGGGAGGCCGGGCTTCACTGTTAGACATGGTGGGGTGGGCACAATTCTTACTCTTTCGTGTTTTTCAACGTTAAGTTAAAAATTAAAACAGGAATCTTGACAAAGCTGAAAAATAATAATCATAAGGAGAAAAATAAGGACAGAGTGAACACTAAGGGAGAAAGGCCAGGCTGACCCCCTCCTGCGTCACTGCAGACTGCCCAGCTCTTGTGGCCAGCGTGGCGAGGCCGGACTGCCCAGCTCTTGTGGCCAGCGTGGCGAGGCCACTGCCGGAGACGGGCGGCATCTCTGCACAGAGGGTTGCATTAGAGCCCCAGGAGGGGCCTCAGGATCCAAGCAGCAGAAACCCTGTTCAGGGGCAAAGCCAGCAAGGGTCGGGGTTGGGGAGGGGCCACAGGCCAGTGGAGGCTCAGCACTCAAGGCCCCGCTCCTCCCTCCCTCTCTTCCTCCTCCTTCTCCTCCCCTTTGTTCATCTTCCTTCCTTCCAGTACTGAGGTCAGGGCCAGGCACGCTGCGGTCTGTCTCCTCACCTCTGCTCTCTCTCAACACCTGGGCTGGGACCGCGCTCTAGGGCCCAGAGGCGTTTGGGAGGCCACCGCAGCACGCCACGGAGGAGTGCACAGCCACCCTGCATCAAGTCAGGTCATCGAGGAAGGGACAGCAACATGTCCATGAGGCAGGCCTGACCTGCGCTCCCAGTGACTAACCTCTCGTGACGCTCCCAGTGACTAACCTCTCGTGACCTCTGTTTCCAGACGTCCCTGGGAACTGTTCAGAAAACTTCTGTCAGAACGGAGGCACCTGTGTGCCGGGCGCGGACGCCCACAGCTGTGACTGCGGGCCAGGGTTCAAAGGCAGACGCTGCGAGCTCGGTAAGTCAGGGCTTGGCCTCAGGGCGCCCCTTACCACAAAGCCTGTGCCTCGGCCTAGCACTGCTGGGCCACAGCTGGGTTTGCCACGGGAGCCTCCAACCATGAGGTGCCAGACGGGGAGCCTGGTGCACGGGGCTGACCCCTGAGTCCCCGGGGGCTGCGCTGCCGCCCCAAGCACCAGGATGGGAGGTGCTGCCCGTCACAGGGGTCAGAACACCCACAGCATGCGAGGCTCAGCTGCGGAGGGCTCCCTGACCCAGCCAGAGCAGGTGTCCGGAGAAGGGACTCCCACCTCCACAATACTGACCTGCCCCGGCCTTAGAGGAAGCCAGCTGCAGACCCCCGAGCCCTCTTCCCCGGCCTTAGAGGAAGCCTAAGGGGTTTCGCTACAGACCCCCGGGCCTTCTCTTTGGGCAGGGCCTCTCGGAGGGGCAGGAGGAGCATGTCAGGAGCCCCTGGCGAGCCACTGCCCTTCTTTGTTGCAGCCTGTATAAAGGTGTCCCGCCCCTGCACAAGGCTGTTCTCCGAGACAAAGTCCTTTCCAGTCTGGGAGGGAGGCGTCTGTCACCACGTGTAAGTTGATTTCCACGTGTAAGTTGGTTTCTGTCCTCCGCCTTACCACATTTGTAGTGTGTTTTTTTTTGTTTGTTTGTTTGTTTGTTTTTTTGAGACAGAGTCTCGCTCTGTCGCCCAGGCTGGAGTGCAGTGGTGTGATCTCAGCTCACTGCAAGCTCCGCCTCCCGGGTTTACGACATTCTCCTGCCTCAGCCTCCCCAGTAGCTGGGACTAGAGGTGCCCGCCACCTCGCCCGGCTAATTTTTTTATTTTTAGTAGAGACGGGGTTTCACTGTGTTAGCCAGGATGGTCTCGATCTCCTGACCTCATGATCCACCCCATCGGCCTCCCACAGTGCTGGGATTCCAGGTGTGAGCCACCGCGCCGGCCAGGTTGTTGCTACTATTATCATCATCTTCATTATTGGTTTGCTTTGAATTGCATGAGTTTCTGCCCCTCAACCTCCCACAGTGCTGGGATCACAGGCGTGAGCCACCGCGCCCGGCCTGTAGAGTGTTCTTGACTCCTCAAAGTGCTTTCTCAAAGCCACCCACCTACCCCTGAGGGGGAACGACAGCTGCAGTCACAGAAGGGACTTGCTTTGATCACCGATTCCCTCCATGTCACAAATTAGGCAGCTGAGGCAGAAAAACTGAATAACTGCCCCAAGTCCATGCAGCTCAGGAGCAGGGGCTGAGAAGAACCCAGGCCCCCAGGCCCCCAGGCCTTCCTCCCAACACATCACCCACCCAGGCCCCCAGGCCCCCAGGCCTCCAGGCCCCCAGTCCCCCAGACCTGCCTTCCCACATATCAGCCACCCAGGCCCCTGGCCCCTAGGCCCCCAGGTCCCTAGGCCCCCAGACCTTCCTCCCCACACATCACCCACCCAGACCCCCAGCCCCTAGGCCCCCAGACCTTCCTCCCCACACATCACCCACCCAGGCCCCAGGCCCCTAGGCCCCCAGGCCTTCCTCCCCACACGTCGGCCCAGTGCCCACTGAATGGCAGGGCCAACTGAAGTGACCTTCCTCTCTTCTCTTCCTCAGAGCCCCCTGGAAAAACAAACAGCTCATGGGAATGCCGGCCTCAGTTCTGCCATTAACTCATGATGTGGCCTCAGGCCCCCCATCTCCGAGACAGGCTGTGGAGGGAGAGCTGCCCAGCCCATCTCTTAGAACCTTTCTTGCTAACACTCTGAGTCTGTGGGTTACGCAATCAATTTAATCAACAGATAACTTACTGAACACCTGCTGTGAGCTGGGCACGGTTCTAGATACTCAGCACACATCAGGAACAGAGCAGACCAAAGCCCTGCCTTCAGGACCCGTTCACTGCAGATGAGGGGACAGACAATGCAGTGAGTGTGTGGTGTGGCAGGTGGTGAGTGCAAAGGGAAACAGGACGAGATGACAGGATGAGACTAGGAGAGCCTGCTGGGGATGGGCAGGGGCTGGTGCAGAAAGAGGGTGCTCACCCTCTTGGAGATGAGAGGGTAAGCCTCCTGAAGAGGGTGATGCTGAACAGACATGGAGGAGGGACATCTGAGGGAAGGACGTTCCAGACAGCCAGAGGACCAGTTACCAAGGCCACGAGTCAGGAGTGTCCCTGGCATGTTGGGGGAGAAGTGGAGAGTGGTGAGAGGTGAGGGACAGGGAACCTCCAGGGCCATGGAGACCCACAGAAGGACTCTGGTGTTTGTCCGTCATGAAATGGGGAGCTACCAAAGGGTTCTGAGCAGAGGAGTGACATGTTCGATTACACTACTTTGGATGTTCTGCGGAGACTGGGATGTAAACAGGCAAGGGTAGAAGCTTCGTTGGAGCTTGGACGTGAAGCCAGGTGTAATATGTAGCAGGAACACATATGAGATGCTAATCTGTGTTGAGATTTGGGAAGCTGTATTGACAGTCCACTGAATTTGGATTCTGTGCAGTGGCCGTCCGAACCCACAGTATCTACCATCTTCCCACTGTGCTTAGTTACACCAGTGCCTGCTGGTGACCACCAAGTATCCAACAAGAAGACCCTTCCCGTCCTGAAAGCATTCTATCCTTTCCCTTTCAACCTATCTGCATATTTCAAGTGACTTCCTTGTATTTAACATAGAGGTGGGTCTTGCTTGATATCTAGTCTGACAGTCTGGTTTGTATTGGAGTATTTAGACAATTTACATCACCTTCCACATCATGACCAGCGTGGTTGGATTTAAACTTCCATATTGCTGTTTGTTTTCTGTTTTTCCCATCTGCTTTCTGTTACTTTTCCCCTTTTTCCTGCCTGATTTTGGATGACTTTTTACTATATTTTGTCCAGTTCTCTGGTGGTTCACACTGGGAGGTTAATTCCAGATTCTGTTACTCTTTCATGTCCAGAAATGGAAGTCTTACCACAGGTTTTAGATCCTAAAGGTTCTACGAGACCTAGCATATGAGTTGGAGCTTTGCCTGCTGAACTCCTTGGATCTGCCTTTTAAACAGCTCTGACATTTGAGAACTTTAACAAAAGACAAAACACCTTCCCATCCATTATTATCTACAAACTTGTAAGAGAGATGGTATGAGTAGGTCCCATTTTACCTGCAACTGAGACTTAAAACTTCAAGAGACTTGCTTGAAGTAGCCTGATGAATAAATGGAAGAGGCAGGAGATGAAATCAGGCCTCCTGTTCTATAATGCCTACATCGGAATCCTGAATCCCCAATCCCCAACACTTCTCAAACTTCTCTGTGAAATACCCAGAAAAACAGAGAAGTGAGGTCATACCTTCCCCAGGCCTCAGGCGAAGTGGCCTGCCTCTAGCACTGACATGTCTTTGAAATTTCACAGTTTATTTTTAGTACCATATACTTTGTCAGCGCTCATCAACATGCACATTAAAATGGGTTTATTTTATGTATATTATTGTACCTCAATAAATTTGTTACAAATCACATGACATTTATGTTAAACATCTTAATACATCAATAGGAGGTAATGTTTCATTCAGAAAATAGCAGCTTTTCCCTGACACCTTCAGGGTTACCTGTGGGTTCACATAGCCTAGGTTAAGCAGTTGGCAACATTTTGCTTCACTGTCTGGTTTTACAAAGCTATCTTGTGACAACAGGTATAAAAGAGTCTACAGAGTTCACCAAGACATCTGCTTCAAAGAGAGCTGTGAAAGCACAAGCCTCAAGAAGACCCCAAACAGGTGCCTCCGGGGAGCAGGCCCATGCCGTGTCCTGCATGGAGCCCACAGGGTGATGGGGCAAGGGCGGCGGTGCTATGGGATGCTGCAGGCCTGCGGGTGGAGCCAGGCGGTCTACTCACCCGGATAGGCAGCCCCTGGCCAGCCACGTTCTGCTACGAAACTGTATGTCCATATACGTGCATGTGAGCGTACACAGAGGGGCCCAGCCGGGCATGCTGGGTGCTGGGGGGAGGTCACACGGTGGGTGCTGGGAGTCACTCTGGTTATGCGTATTCACACAGAACACGGTGCTACAATTGGGAAGCACAGGGTATAACTGACAGCCCCGAGTATTTAACGGCCAATATAGGGTGTCGCTGTTTACTTTTCATTCACTCACACCCAGGTTCTTTCCCCAAAGGGTTCAAGGTAGTTACAAGAATTACTCCTGTTTGGGGTTTACTGAAAGAAGTACCTGAGAATATTATATGCTTTAGAAACCACAGAGTCGAAACCTGTCATCGTCCTCATATACCAATAAGTAGCCACGCTATTTGTTTGGCATTACCAAGTGTCAGGGCGAGGCCGCAGCCTGCAGCTCACCAGCTGTGCTGCTCGGCCTGCGCCCGTCTCCCGGCTCTTCCCTGGGGTAGCTTTTGCTTGCTTTCTCCCATGTCTGTCCTTCTCTCTCTCTCTGACTCACATCCAGCCATGTTTCTAGCCTTGTCACTCCCAAACTACTGCCTCAAGCCAGGCGGGCGCACACAAACTAAAATGCTAATCTCCACAGCGGTGTCTGGACTAATGGTATCCCCCACCCTGGAATATATGTGAGCTAAAGACAGGATTTCAGCAGGCATCCTGGACTGAGGTAGCTGTAGGATTCAAAGTACACAGTCTTTTTTTCATTAAACAACTTTTCTCTATTTCAGGAAACAAAGTAAGAGTCAGACACTGGAGAAATCTTAAGGTACGTCCCTGCTGCTCCTGCACCACTACCACAGAGCTGCTGGGAAGTGGGGGGCGACTGCCCAGCCCTGGGGCTCTCCGAGTGCCGTTGCCCTACTTACTAAGCACTGCTAAAGGAAGCTCGGTCCTGTGCTGCTGTGTTACAGACTCCTGGGCAGGAAGGTTTCAGAATTTCCCAAGGGGAAAAAGACATGAACCTGCTCTGGCCACTGACAAATACATCTTCAGGTGGAAATGAGGCTCTCTGTGAATAGGGGCAAATCCCACTCTTTCTCAAGGGAAACGTGGCCAAGAAACCCCTCGATCAGCTGCAGTGGGAGGAAGAGGCAGGAGGGTGGGCACTTGGAGAGGCTGGAAGACCACCTGGCACCTGGGAGGAGGGGCCACGGGCAGTGGGAGGGCCTGGGCTGCTGAGAAATTCCGGGGGTTCCAGGACAGAGCTAAGACAGTGCCTCCCAGAGCTTGTGAATGGCATTCTGTCAGAACTAAAAATGGGGCAGGGGCCTTGATCACTTAATATTTAGAAAGTCTCAAAGACTGTCTGTCACTAGGAAACTCATCGCTGACACTAGACTCATAGGCATTCATAAATCCTGAAATGAAAGAAACTTTCTAACCTTTTTTGATTAAGCTAGCATTTCCCAAACTCTTTTGGCAACCAAACCCCCATCCTGCCCCTGCCTCCTGCTGCTGCATCTTCAACAACACTGGTATTCTTCACAATGGTTTGCAGAAGACTGGGATAGACCACAGAAAACCATCTACAACCTGTTATCAGTTTCATACTGACTACAGTTTCTTATCAACATGTCACTGTGCATGAAAGATCAATTTCTGGTTGGCCTAGGACAGCTTTGCTACTCACGCCCCTTAAATGAGCCTTCACAGTTCCTCTTCCTGTGGTACAGATGAGAGTGAGGCACCCTTGGGTAACAAGCCACTTCAAAACAGGTCTATGTTTTGTTATATGCCTAAAAAAATAAAGGAGAAATGTGATTCGGAAACCTTTAAAAATGAACAGAAGCAAAAGAGCTTTTCAGGTAAAGGCTCACACACTCCAAAGGAAGAATGTCCACACCACCTGGGGGAAGGCCTGGGCCGGAGCTCCACAGATGGCCGGAACTTGAGCTCTGAGTTGGCCATGACAGAGGGCATGCATCTGCCTCTTCGGATGTGGAAAGGCTCTCCATAAGAGAGCAGCTGGCAGCGTTCACTTCCTGTTGACTCAAAGGAATCACTTCCTGCTCCCACCTCACCCTCCAAAGACACACACACTAAACACACTCCAGGCTTGTAAGCAATTTACTACAGCCGAGCATCACCTAACAATGGAGATGCATTCTGAGAACTGCTTTGTGAGGCGAGGTCATCTGGGTGAACATCATAGCGCGTACTCAGAACAAACCTAGATGGCGCCGCGTACCACGCACCTAGGCTGTATGGCAGAGCCTGTGCTCCCGGGTTACACACCACAGCGTGTTACTGAATACTGTAGGCAGTTGTAACACAGTGCCAAGTGTGTGTGTATCTAAACACAGAAAACCTACAGTAAAAATATGGTATAAAAGATAAAAAATGGTACACCTGTGCCGGGCACTTACCATCATTGGAATGTGCAGAACTGGCAGTTGTGCAATAATAAATTAGTTCTTCAATAAGAAATTAACCTTAGCGTACTGTAACTTTTTTACTTTATACATTTTTAATTTTTACTTTTTAACTCTTTGTAATAACAGCTTAAAATACAACCACACTGTACAGATGTTCAAAACTGTTTTCTATCCTTATTCTAAGTGCTTTTTCTGTTCTTAAAACTTTTGTTTTTTACTTTTTAACTTTTGTTAAAAACTAAGACACAAACATACACATTGGCATAGGCCTACACAAGGTCAAGATCGTCCATGTCACCTTCCTTCACTTCTACATCATGTCCCAGTAACACACATGGAGCTGTCACCTCCTGTGACAATGATTCCTTCTTCTGGATACCTCCTGAAGGACCTGCCTGAGGCCATTTTACAGTTAACTTTTTTTTTTTTTTTTGAGACGGAGTCTCGCTCTGTCACCCAGGCTGGAGTATAGTGGCGCGATCTCGGCTCACTGCAAGCTCCATCTCCCAGGTTCACGCCATTCTCCTGGCTCAGCCTCCTGAGTAGGTGGGACTACAGGCGCCCACCACCACGCCCAGCTGATTTTTTGTATTTTTAGTAGAGACGGGGGTTTCACCGTGTTAGCCAGGATGGTCTCAATCTCCTGACCTCGTGATCTGCCCGCCTCGGCCTCCCAAAGTGCTGGGATTACAGGCTTGAGCCACCGCGCCCGGCCAACTTTTTTTTATAGGTAGGAGTACACTCTAAAATCATGATGAAGAGTATAGTAAATACATAAACCAGTAACATCAGAAATTATGATCAAGTATTATGTACTGTACATAATTGTATGTGCTAGACTTCTATACACAGGGCAGTGCAATAGGTTTGTATACACCAGCATCACCACAAACACACCAAGAATTCTTCTAGCACTTTGGGAGGCCGAGGTCAGTGGATCACTTGAGATCAGGAGTTTGAGACCAGCCTGGCCAACATGATGAAACCCCGTCTCTACTAAAAATACAAAAATTAGGCATGGTGGTAGGCACTTGTAATCCCAGCTACTCAAGAGGCTGAGGCAGGAAAATCACTTGAACCCAGAAGGCAGAGGTTGCAGTGGGCTGAGATTGTGCCACTACACTACAGCCTGGGCAACTGAGCAAGACCCTCTGTCTCAAAAAAAAAAAAAGAAAAACAATTTTGTACCATGGCTATGACCTCAGCTCCACTGTAATCTCATGGGACCACTGTCATGCGTGCAGTCCTTCATCATACGGTGCCTAACTGTACTAGAATTAAGAATCCACAAACATAATTTGCGTTTGAGATATTTATATGGTGGTAAGTCACCTGAAATATTAATGTATCTTTTTAAAAGCTTGCCTAGCACATCCACTCCCATAAAAACAAATCAGAAGCCCCCAACTAATTATCAAATACTGGCTTATAGAACACCTATTCTTGAAATAATAGAGAAAACACACAAAAAAGCAGGAAACAGAAACACACGCACCCAGACACCTGTCCAAGAACAACATGAGAATTCACTTCAACCCAGAGCAACTTGACGCAGCCGTGCCCTTGGAGAAAAGACCGAGTCATTACTGGGAGGAGGAGGGCAGGGTAGAGGAACAGCCTGTTGATTTCCCATTTAAAAGTTGTAACGCTGAGCCCACCTGTTCCTAAAGATGGGGATGTAGTCAGTGGGGGCTGCCCCTCCCTGTGTGCACTGCCATATGGTAGAATCCTGGTGCTCTAAGAACGCAGGGGCCTCTGGATGACAGAGGCCCTGAGGGCCACTAAGAGAAACAGGATGCAGCCCATTTAAAGGAGTGGGAATGCCTATCATTCTCCTCATGCTTCACTTTGTTTTCTCTTCAAAGGATTTAAGACGTTCTTGTTACACTCCACCAACCTCACGAGTTTCTAAAACCCAGGAAGATGAGGTCTAAAAACTGGATGAAAAAGGACACCCTGAGAGAAAAGGTCCTCGCTGGAGTCGGTCCCCTCTGGGACCTCTCTCCTCACGCCTCTAGAAGACAGATGGCCAGGCCTGTGCACACACCAGCCCGCCCTGAGAGTCCCCTCTGGGACCAATCACCTATGAGTCCTGCGATGCATTAAGCAGCCTGTGCCCTCACCCAGGCTGCTGTTCCCGAAGGTGTGGTCTGTGCCTCTGCGGATGGGATGACAGCTGGCCATTCCCCAGGATCAGTGAGGCTGTCAGCCTTGCTTCTGCAGTATTCAGAAACCTGTTCTTACACTCCAAAGCCAGAGAAAGAATTCTGCCTTCGAGGCCTAATAAATTGAGAAGGAACCGTGATGGACCACTTCCAAAACAGAGATGGGGGGCAGCGGCCAAAGGGCAGAGACCAGGTGATGCTGGGAGGAAAGCCGGGTTGCAGACACAGCCGCCCCTGCTCTGGTCCTTCAGCGTGTTTATGATGCTCGTGCAGGTCGA